CTGATAAAAGTCTAAGACAAATATCTCCTCTCTTCCTTTGTGAAATGGAAAGGAAGTATTTTTTATTTTAATAAGATGTAACTAATTTTTACTTTATGTAAAATTTGGCATAGGTAACTTCTACGTTTATTATTGAAATTTTGCACTGGTATCTTTAATATTATTGAACTATATTTTTTGTTGAGTTCATTGTTTTTGCAGTCTTTCCACCTTTGCAAATCACCAAGTGCTCTACAGGACTGCTCTGATGGTGTGAGCAGCCAGCCACCTGGGGGGTTAGCTTGGGGTGAGGGTTTTAGGGGTCTATTATTGTAACCCCCTCTGCAATGTGAGGTCCAGGCTGTTTAAATGGTCCGATTAGTATTCTTGGAAACTTTAAATTGTGCGTTACTGCCACCAGCTGGTATGATTTAAGATACCAAGTATGCACTATGCGATCAAAGTGTTTTGATCAATTTGGTTTTCTCAGGAAAATCTAACACAATTTTGTATTTTTGCTCCCAAAAACGTCTTTGCAATTATCTACAATATTAAACTTGTCAAATGCTCTCCTTGTGAATTTTCTTTCTTGCAAGTTTGACAGTTCAACATATGTTCTGAAGATTGCTCTTCTCCGCAGTATTCACTATACTGTGCTTTTGTATTATAAACAACTCATTTATGTCTAAATCTTGATTTTGTATTTAATATTTCCTCTTTTCTGGTCCTTCTTCCACTTCTACTGTCTTTTCATCTTCCTTCTTCCTTTTTCCATTCCATTGTTTCTGCCATTCTTAGGTGGGAGTGGCAGTGCCCATCCTATTGAGATTTATTTTTAACTAAGATATCCAAGGGTTGATGTTTATTAAAGTAACACATGACCATGAATAAATTAAATGCTTAATTATACATCTGCTTCCTAATTGTTTTTATTTTTTATTTTTATTGAGCCATATTCTCCATGTTATTTTCAACCACCATTGACTACTCTTTGACCTTTCCTTTGGTTATAATAAAAAAACGTGTCACTTTTTTTCTGTCTTTTTTTATAGGCGTTTGTGGTCTTCTCTATATAGCTTGTTATCAATTAAAAATGCATCCAATCATTAGCTAATCATTGTGTGCATTAATACTGTTGATATGCCAATTTACTTTAAATGAGATAACAGCAAAATTGAAGACTCAATATCCGTTATAATCACAAAATAGATAAGTATTTCTAATAAATTCTAGGGGTAAAGTTGGAGATTCTAACCTATAATTGTTAAATTTACCACTAATCTCTATTTATTCACTAGATTGCTGATTGCCCGTTGGTAGTATGGGGTTGAAATGAAGCCACTGGCCGCCATATTGGTACTCCCTAGTTAGACCGGCTGCAATGTAAACAATATGTGCTCCACAGCATCAAACAATGAGGATTTTCTCATTTTCAGGGGAACGTAAGACTTTTAAAATAAAGATAAATTCATCACTCTGTCACACGCTTGCTGTTTCATGGCATAAGTAGTCTCTAAATCATGTAATATAACAATACAAATCCATCACAATAGAGGTAATGTGTTAATGGAGCATAATATAGATGTGCCAGAAGTGCAGAATGATTGATGTACATGTTATATACATGTATTTTTTACATTGTTACAGTAATTACATATTACATATAAATTTAAGATTTTACAAAAAGACTGTATTACAACTACATGTCTGTTAATGCTTTAGTATCTCTCTCTCTCTCTCTCTCTCTCTCTCTCTCTCTCTATATATATATATATATATATATATATATATATATATATATATATATATATATATATATATATATATATATATATATATATATACACTATATTGCCAAAAGTATTTGCTCACCTGCCTTGACTCACATATGAGCTTAAGTGACATCCCGTTCCTAATCCATAGGGTTCAATATGACGTCGGTCCACCCTTTGCAGCTAGAACAGCTTCAACTCTTCTGGGAAGGCTGTCCACAAGGTTTAGGAGTGTGTTTATGGGAATTTTTGACCATTCTTCCAGAAGCGCATTTGTGAGGTCGCACACTGATGTTGGACGAGAAGGCCTGGCTCTCAGTCTCCGCTCTAATTCATCCCAAAGGTGTTCTATCGGGTTGAGGTCAGGACTCTGTGCAGGCCAGTCAAGTTCATCCACACCAGACTCTGTCATCCATGTCTTTATGGACCTTGCTTTGTGCACTGGTGCACAGTCATGTTGGAAGAGGAAGGGGCCAGCTCCAAACTGTTCCCACAAAGTTGGGAGCATGGAATTGTCCAAAATGTCTTGGTATGCTGAAGCATTCAGAGTTCCTTTCACTGGAACTAAGGGGCCAAGCCCAGCTCCTGAAAAACAACCTCACACCATAATCCCCCCTCCACCAAACTTTACACTTGGCACAATGCAGTCAGACAAGTACCGTTCTCCTGGCAACCGCCAAACCCAGACCCATCCATCAGATTGCCAGATGGAGAAGCGCGATTCGTCACTCCAGAGAACGCGTCTCCACTGCTCTAGAGTCCAGTGGCGGCGTGCTTTACACCACCGCATCCGACGCTTTGCATTGCACTTGGTGATGTATGGCTTGGATGCAGCTGCTCGACCATGGAAACCCATTCCATGAAGCTCTCTGCGCACTGTTCTTGAGCTAATCTGAAGGCCACATGAAGTTTGGAGGTCTGTAGTGATTGACTCTGCAGAAAGTTGGCGACCTCTTCGCACTATGCGCGTCAGCATCCGCTGACCCCGCTCCGTCAGTTTACGTGGCCTACCACTTCGTGGCTGAGTTGCTGTCGTTCCCAAACACTTCCATTTTCTTATAATACAGCTGACAGTTGACTGTGGAATATTTAGGAGCGAGGAAATTTCACGACTGGATTTGTTGCACAGGTGGCATCCTATCACAGTTCCACGCTGGAATTCACTGAGCTCCTGAGAGCGACCCATTCTTTCACAAATGTTTGTAAAAACAGTCTGCATGCCTAGGTGCTTGAATTTATACACCTGTGGCCATGGAAGTGATTGGAACACCTGATTCCAATAATTTGGATGGGTGAGCAAATACTTTTGGCAATATAGTGTATATATATATATATATATATATATATATATATATATATATATATATATATATATGTATGGGTCACATGTTTGAGTTGTTTTTTCCACTCAAATTAACATATAATATTTCAGCACATATAACTTTTTCACATGAGAAATACAACAATACAAAATCAACAGCGTCGTCCACTTACTAAAGAATTACTACATTGACATTTCACAGTGAATTGCTTTCTATTTACCGTACTTTCTATTTTATAACGTTAGACATAATGTTGATGGCTACTGTAACTCAGCCAATATCTTCGAGTCAGTGCGAAATAGCCAGACTAATCAGAGGCGTAGCCAGAAAATCTTTATAAGTGTGGCCAGGTAATAACCAATGTACACTGAGGGGTGGCCGAAAGTAAATAGGCACCAAAATCTCAGGGTCAATCTACACTGTTCCAACGGGAAAATTAACCGGCAAAAGATACATTTTTTTCTAGATAAAAACAAACTATATCTTCCCACAGCCTTTGCTAACAAATAGACAAATATATTCAAACATCCATGCTTTCTATATAAAAGATATAGTGGATAAAATTCTTTCAGGTTTGAGTTTTGGGCGAACATCTTTTCCATTGTCACTAGTTACCTACTTATATCAGTAATCATTCTGCATAAAATTGATATTTACAAGAACTAATATCTAACATAAATTGATTATTTAATAAGTTTTTATGAAAATAGTTATTTATCTATGATTTCACTGAAGACTCCTAGATGACTTGTAGAGACATATTTTTCTCTTTACCTCATAAAACACAACATCTATTTCTGCTTGAATTCTGTACTTATTATCTTTAATGTTAGCATATTGATGTGCATATTTAACCATATTGTTTTGTTGTCAAGTAATTGTTAATATATAAAAAATTAAAATGTTTTGAATATTCCACTTGAGAGTATTACTGTTGCCACCATTTGTATTAGAGGGAAACAATGGTAGGGGTGGCCAATGTTCAGCTAAGGTCACCCTCGGCCCCCCATCTAGCTCCGCCCCTGAGACTAATGTTACGCAACATACTATACTATAGGATACATCGGCGTATGGATTTTCCTGATTAATGCATCCACTGACAGTGAAATTACCTGTGAAATGTCTTCCCACAGCCGGTAAACTGCTTTTTTTTGCAGCCAAATGCTACACATGTAAGCAGTGGTGGATCTAGACCACATGTACCAGGGGGGCCAGGAGGGAACCAGGCAAGGGATTCAAATATATTAAGAGAGCTGCAAGAAGTGACATTTCTATTCAATTAGGTTTCATAAAAGTTGTATTTCTTATAAGGTCAATTTACATTCATAATTTAGAAATTTTACAAATGTTTCACTTAATTTAGGTTAAAACTACCGTTTTCTATAAAATCTGAATTAGAACTCAAGAAAAACTGATAAATTCAGCTGTAAAATTTTTTTTTATGTTTTGAAAAAAAAAAAAAAAACATTTAGCAGATTAAAACTGGGATCCTATCTCAATACCACTGAAGCTATCATCATATTGTTTTAAAATAATTAGTAAAACATAATTTGTAAAGAAAAAAACAATGAAATAGATCCAAAGGACCTATCAGTAACCATGTCTTTTCCAGCGCATATCATCATTAGAATTTCTTCAGTACAGGGGCCATAACAGGGGCGAGGACATAATTTACAGGGGCATTGGCCCCCGTTGGCCCCTGTCTAGAACCGCCCATGCGTGTAGGCATTTTTACTGCGCATCTTCGTGGGAGTGGGGAGTACCAGCATGGGTTCACTTTTTTCGGGCAATCAGCCATCCAGTGCATAAACAGAGATCAGTGAACTTTACCCATTAAGCCCTCATGGCGGGTCTCTGGACTCTGCTAATTAGCTGGGCCTGCTGATTGGTTGGTGCTAATTACACCAGGTGCGTCAGTGTCTGCTCATTGGCCACTTCGTTGTAATGGTGGAGTACATTTTGAGTCCCAAACCAGGCGGTGATTAACGCCTCCTCCTCGCTGCAGACCCATCAAGTCCAGGGCTGACCCAGCAGTACCATGACCCGTGAAACCCCCAGAGAAGCTGTGGAGCAGCCTGTGGACAACGAGGTGAATAGAAAACTTCACATTAACCGGTATATGCTCTGGGTTTGTCTGCGCTGAACTTTTCACCGTCTCCACCTGCAGGGCAGAGTAGTGAGGAGAGACGGCGTCCTCCGCTCCTTTGTTCGCGGCCTCTTCTGGCCTTTCAGTCTCGCGGTAGGTTTGTCCAGCAACCAGCACGGATTAAATTACGAGGCTGTTGTATAATTTGTCTCCCTGTTGTAGTTGAGGTCCTTCCGAGGATTTTGGTGGATGCTTAGCAGATCTCCGCCTGAAGACGCACCCACCTCCATCTCCGTGGTTTCCAGCCCCGTGCGCCAAAACCTCACCGGCCGGAAGCGCCTCTACAGGGTCACCCGGCTGCTGCTGCGCATCCTGCCCTCCTGGGCGCAGGCCGCCCTGGGCTACCCGGTGTCTAGCAGCGTTGGGTGCTCTCTGTCCCCAGGTAACAATCATTATATTTTTTTCGCTCTTAACTTTTGTTTTAAGTAGCGAGATATATATCCTTTCTACATGTTTAATGAACAGAGATCAGTGTTTCACCCACTAAACCACATGGAAAGGGCAGCAAGAGAAAACAAGATGAGCTTGATGATGATGAGGAGGAGGATCATCCATCTTGGGTGGAGGTGCTTTCTAAGGAACTTCCAGATGATGAAGGCCAAGAGGAAGATCCTGACTATGAGGTCTGTAGTGCATACAATCAAACTCTTTGTGTCAGCCAATCTGCTACTGTATTTAGGCCAGTGGTTTGCATCTACCAGACTGTTGGGTCGACTTGCTTGGTTTTTAATAAACCTTGGAAACCAAGTCCACTGGATTTAATTTGTAACATTTACAGAATGAATATGACCTGGATGAATGGGAATCTTTATTAGTAATCCTGAAAAAGTTAACAAAGGCCATCTCTCTTCAGGTCAGCACCGAGGAGGAAGACAGTGAGGAATATGCCTCAAAGGCCGACACAGAGAGTGATCTTGAAATTACAGAAGGTCGCGTCGTTATTCGTGACGTGAACACGGTGAGATGACCTGCAGCTCTGTGAAGTTATGGCTTTATTCAAATGGTTGCATTCATTTGGCTGCTTTGTTTACAGGATGTTGCTGTCCCGATGCCAGCTGAAGAGTCTACAGCTGCTGTTTAAACTTTCTCTATTGCTGTAATTTTTGTATGTTTATATATTCAATAAAACTTTAATGTGCTGTTTTGTCACCAGATGGCAGTATTGGCTTGCATTCTTTAAAGGGGGTTTGCAACTAATGTAGAACTCAGACTTCATTTTAGGCTCCATTAACCAGATGGTCCAGTTACCTTAAATGCAGTTTCTGCCAAGCAAACTGAGCAAGGATGGCTGTATGACATGTATTTATTTTTTTTCCTGGGAACATCTCTGCAGGTAAAATATCATCCTTATGATGCCATCTCTCCTTTAGACAGACAACCCTGCAGTCTGTAAACTGGTACTGTTGGCTGTATTTATGGAGTTTGGGTATGAAAAAGACCTTAAGTGGCTGCGCCCGAATAAATCCATAACTTGTGCAAACGATCCCAGACTTTAGCTCACTGATGCTTGGCTTTTCTAAAGAGCTGTTAGATTATTGAAATGCAAATGAGGCTGGAGACTACTCTATGAAAACGCCCCTCAACTTGGACATCGTTTGAAAACACAATTTCCAGTGATTGAGCTTAGGATAATCTTTGGTTTCACTTGAATAGGCTCTATTAACTAGAAATTTGATTTTGGGCAGGTGTGGTTCTTTTTGCCAGCTATGTGACTATACTGTCAGTTTTAGAACTGGTCATTTGGAGATATCCACACCCTCCTGTTCACCCTGGGTTAATTTTCCAGATGGTAATCTTTTGTTCTGAATGGTACAGTACTCTGAAAATGTCTTATCTGACCAAATCGCACAAACCCAATGCAACTTATTAATGCAAGTAATGAGATCAAATATTAAATGGGAGAAGTAAGGATAAGCCTCCACTTTAACTAAAGCTATAACTTACTATAGTGACTTATGTTTTACAGCTAGCTTCCTTATCTGTTCAGTGCCAGATTGAACAGGGTTTTGTCATTATGGATGCTACTAAATCATGTGAACAACAGTGACGTGCGGTGAGGTTCATAGCTGGTGAGGCACTGACGTCATCAGAATCAGATTTGCAAATAGATGCATAGATTGACAGCAGTTTACAGGTTATGTTTCACTTCTGCATCCTTACACATACAAACTGTAGCTCACAAAACACACATTTCCTTAAAAAACAAAACAAAATAAATGTTATTACTGTCTTACCTTTACTTATAAATGAATAGAAGTCCTCCTTATCTTCCTTCAGTTTTAAAAGTCTCTCTGTCTCAATGGAGATCACTGCCAGGGAAGAAAGCCTTCCTTGATCCGTCCTGTTCCTGCCTTATGTTTTCAGTCTCTTGAGCACCCCCTGCCATGAGGCAAGAGAACTGCCTGCCTCACCTCGAACTTGTTCTCTGCCGTTTATAATCGCTCATTACACGAAACACGTTACACAAACACAGTTGGTGACAAAAAGCTCTGTACATTATATACATAAGCCAAATTATTAGAAATAAGTTCACATATTACATTTGTTTAAACCATTTTATTGACGCCGTACAGCAACATGCTCTCTCCGCTTTGCAGCCAGCGCAGAGCCAGGGGTTGCGCAATCCAAGGTGAGGCAGAGCTCGCTGCTGCCTCACCGGCATCGCTTCCAAGCATTTGAATGGGAAAATAAGAAAATTCAGCGATTTTGAACAAATAAAAATCGAAATTGGTGAAGCTACATGAAAAATGAATATTTTTTAGTACAAACCACCGGATGAATATAACAATTTAAATTACTTTATGATTATATATTTTCTTTCTTTCCATGATGGCTGGTGAGGCACTGCCTCACCTGCCTCCCCTGACCGCACGTCACTGGTGAACAAGGCCTACATAATTACCAGGGAGCTGTTCTGTATGAAGACAGGGATATGCAGAAACACTAGGTGGTGCTAGAGCACCTGTCATTTTCCTCAACCAAAAAAGTACCCTAATAAGAGTAGCTTCAGTGTGTGGCATTTCTGGATTCCTAAATTTCTATCAATGCCACCAACTTTAATGCTTTTGATCAACCTTCTCCCCCCGCGTGTGTCTCTAAGCAGACCTGAAATCAAAAGCACGCTTGATGGCGCAAAGCTTTCTCCTCTCCTTCACCCTGCAAAGTGTATTTGGTGATTGCAGCATAATGCTGAGAAAGGCGTACAAGCAGGCAGCACTCTGCTCTCCTGGATCAAACCAGCAGCAGCTTCGGTAGAGGAGAAAGATGTTGGTAAAACTCATAAGGGACAAGAGATCTTTGGAAAGAGCTGTGTTAATACATTTTTTTTTATATCTTTACTACCAATCTCAATTATGGTAGTTATACATATATTAAAGTTTGTAGAGAAATTTATGTACCAATGTGTTTACAGCACAGTCCAGAAGTGTCTCAAGTAGTTGCTCAGTTTGAGTCTGAGACATTCTTTAGGAATGCAGGTTCCATTGACTAAATCATGAAATTGAATTCAGGGGCTGCGTCCTCCGAAAGCCAGATTCATAGGCAGATTACATCATAGCGCAGCGCTGAGGTCTGTTAGGATTCCAAGACTCCTCGTTATGCGGCCGATTAGGACGGGTCTGGTGTATTGTAACCTTGGAAATCTCGCGATTCATTGGCTGTCCATTTTATTTCAAGTTTGTTTAGTTTTATATATCTAAAATGCTTAATTATTTCATACACTGTTTCATTATACTGTTCTTTTTACCATTTTTATCGTGAAGCCAACCTGTAGAGTGTTAAGGCTTATTAATACTCAGAAACCAGGTCGTCTGCGTGTGTCACAGTGAATCCACATAAATCCCCCCTATTCCGCAGACAATCTGGTGCGTCTCTCCAAAATTGTAGGTGAATGCAGACAGGAGGAATCTGGTCAAATCTACATCCGTAGATCTATGCATATTTCCTCTTTGATTCCTTATCGGCTTGTTTTGTTTGTATAACCGCCATCGTGGAAAACGACTCGTGAATTTGGGCCAGCTAGAAGAGGGAGGTGAGTGACAATGCTGGGAGCTTTTTTCCACCTGGATCCCAGGTCTTTTTCCTCCGATATCCTACAAAATTGCCCCCACTTCCTCACCGCCTCTGCCGTAGCTAGAACCACAGCAAGTTCGTGATTGTACCTCTTGCGTTGTGGCGTGGAATAACATACTGTAGTGCAGACCCTGCTTCAATATTGGGCATAAATCAAAACATCTGCGACACACTGCTGCAGGGAGTATAACCAGCCCTTTAAACAATATTAAAAACAGTCATCCGAGAGGATTTGACTATTGGTTTGAAATAGTCTATTTGAACACCTGCCCCTCAAAATGTCTGTGCACGCCACTGTATGAAGACCTGCTTTCTGGCTAGAGATAAGCGTTTCTGTGAGTAGTGCACAGAGGTGAACTTTGTTTTCATGTCACAGCTGTTGCAGCTATCGCAAAACAAACAGCATGACAAAGACATCTTTAGCGATCATCCATTTATGTTTCATTTAATTTGACTGCTGCTGCTGTCCTTCGGCAGGGGTCCTTATTCATTTCTGTAATCCATGTGTTTGAGCGATTCATAAAATGGAGAAAAACAAACAAGCAGTAATTTGGTAATCGTAAAAATCCAGCTGCTTTCAATTATTTCCTGAAAGCCTTTCAGCTTTTTTTTTTATTAACCGTACTTTTGAGCTTCCTTTTTTCTATCCCCCTTTGAGAACTTTTTTTCACCTCCAGATGCTCGGGTGAAAAAGGCAGACGCTCTAAGAGGATGCTGGTTTGAAATGAATGCCTGATGTGTGTGTGTGTGTGTGTGTGTGTTATAGTGAAGAGCAGCTGCAGAGAGAACAGGATACAGAGGAGGAACTGGTGGTCTCTGGGGGTTCTTATGGCTGTCTGAACGTTAGAAGGGAAGCCTGCTCAACAGAGGCAGCAATGGAGAGTATCGACCCCCATCTTCTGTCTTTGTAGTCAGCTGGAAACCATCTTTTAAACCTTGAAGCTTTGTCTTTGACTTTGAAGGCGAGACCTGTACAGAACTATATTTTCGGAAAATGCTCTTGAAAAGAAGGCTCTTAGAGAAGGAGGCGATGAGCACAGATTTGCTAAGATGTTCAATTCAGATGCAGGGTCACATATACTTTCATAAGGCCTTGCAAAAGTACTTATAACCCAGACCTTCTCATGTTTCATGAATAAATGCTACATTTAATGTGGCATGTATTTATATCATGGTACATTTACATATATTTAATCCTACCCCTTTAACTCTCCATAGTAAAGGACAAAAGGTTTAGACACACCTTCTCATTCAAAAAGTTTCTTTATTTTCATGACTATGAAAATTGAATATTTAGACTGAAGGCATCAACACTTCACACATTAATTCACACATTTAAAGATAGTGAATGCCACAGAAAAGGGTAGAAATTCTTTAACAAGGCATTGAATGAACAGAGAAAGACTTTCATAGGATGTCAGAAGGTTATATTTTGGATTTTTTACCTGATCTATGTGAGCAGCACAGATGGTTATAAAACCTTCCTGACACAAACAAATGCACACCCAGAGGTAAAGCCCTGCATGGTCACGGCCAGAACTTTCTGACATCGGTGCATTGTCACCTCAAATGGATAGAGGCAGTTGCCGGCTGCTCCCTGGGCCGACAGTGTGACCTGCGGGCTGCTTTTTGTGCTGCATGACAATGCGACTCACTTCTCAAACTCACTTCTTGCCTCTTACTTTGTGACTGTAGCACTCCCCACTGTCCCTCTGCACAGTCATGCACTGTGATTCACTTTACCTGTGGCCTAATGACTGTCTGTCCCTGCGGATTTCAAGAGCATCCATCATCTTCAGAGAAGTAGAGCAGGAAAAGAGGTATGAAAAGTGAAGCAGACAGAAGCAGACCTCTGTTAGTCACACACTTTGATGCATTGGACAGTGATGGCTCTTTAGGATAGTTTCAGAACTGAAGAACGGTGGAGATTTTGTGCAAACAATCAAAATATTCAAGAAATGAAAAAAGAAATATCTCTGGAGGAGGAGCTCCACCTCAGGATGCTCTCCTCAGCGATCTAGTCAATATTTTAGAGAAAATGGAGGCAGTTTAGCCTCCTATGGAAGATAATATGACATGGC